CTTTGGGGTGAACCAGCCTTTGACGTAATGTGTTTTGGGGTTTGAAAACTACTGGGACATCATGTTTAGAAAATAAACGTCTCAGTCAAACTTAGACGAAACGTTTCATTAGAGAAGAACCCGTCCAGAATACCTATACAATTTTTTTCTTTTTGATTTTTTACCTGGATTACTGAGATGCATCAGGACAATCTTCTCTGCAGTTTACACTCTTCTAAAGGCCAGCGGTCACTCTTTCAGGGATGAAGACGTTCCCTTCCTTTATAGGAACGCTGGTTTGAGAGGGGCCATCTTCATGAAGAGAAACTACCTGTCGTTAAACAGGAGAGGAGGTCTCTGTGTCCAAYTGTCCCCTTCTTACAATGCTGTTATTSTGAGTATGACTCAGCCCTCTGTGAACAATAAGCAGCCATCGGGGCACTAAAGATTGGTAGGTAGGCTGATGATCCTTCCTTTTGCATGCGAACACCAACACCTTCCAMAATGAAGGTGCTGCTTATAAGGCTGAGTTTACCTGCAGCTCCTCAGACTGGAGAAGTCTTTTGGATAAAATGCAAAACGTTTCAATAAGGAAGGTCCCATCTAGAACACAACTCAACCTTGTTAGCTTGAATCCATCAGGACTTCTTGTATTGTTTGATTTTAACTGAACTGTAAAGCACTTTGTCCAAAATTGTTTTTAAATGTGCTGCATAGATAAAATTAWCATTGAGCAAAAAACATGTTCATGTAAACTTCAAAAAATGAGAAAATGCAAYTGGGATATTTTGTGAAAATTGTGTMTTTTAATTACCGATCTCACACAWAAGSTTTTTCATTTGAGCTTCTTGTGTGAACACTGATCTTAACCATACTCTGGTTTAACTGGACAAATTTATTGTAGTTACAGAAAAAAATTCATCTGCCCCCTAAGATTGCAACAAATCTGATTCTGTTCACATTTTCAGTCACTTTCTACTCAGTTTGATTCCTGGTTTTGCGGTTTTGACCAGTGATGTCGAATCCTGGTTCTCTCCTACATGTTTTATTTCTTTTCCTGCTCCAACACACATGATTCAGCAACTAAATTAGCTCTTCAAGTTCTGCAGAACCCTGTTAATCACTTATTTATGTGTTTGAAGCAGAAAAAAATGCTCTGCAAAGCTTTATAATATATATATTTTCTCTAAAAACTTTAAAATCGTGCATCTTTGCTACAAATATCAAATTATTATTCGTGGGCTGGAGTCGCCAGTGGTGTTTCAGGACCAAAACAACAGCAGGGCCTGTTGTGAAGCCTGAGGTCCTCCAGCTCTTTTTCTGGACWACACAACACTTTTGACAGTTTTACTTCACTTTTATATTCTTGTCTGTCCCCCAGCCCTCTTTGTTTGCCTGTAAAAAGTACTCAAAAGTTATTAAGCCACCTGGACCAGGAGTTGGTTGGTTTATGTCCCCRGCCGATCTTACCGACAGAGAAGTACTTCAGGGCCAGAACAAACGGATCCTCCGCCTCGTTCTTCCTCCTCTCTTTCTCTGCGACCCTCAGGCTTCGACTGCTGCTCCGGCTGGACAGGGACTGGTCGTCAAGAGCCGACCGGTCCGAATCCGACGAGTTTAGCGATTCTGCCATTTCTGCATGGCTAAAACACGAGCTAAAAACCTCAAAGTACGGTGCCGAGCCCTGCCTTCTTCCATTCAAACAAAACTCAAATCTTCCGCGCGACCGTTTGGCCTGCGCATGCGCATTAGCGCGTTTCCGCTCAAGTTGCTTCCAGGGAATTGTAGTTTTTCCGGTCATCTGTTGACGTTCGCGCTAACACACCAGTTTACAGCAGGAAATCAAGTAATAACCTATTAATATTTTCATTAATATATTGTATTATTCATATTTTACGTATTCAATAAAGAGAACATTAATAAATAAKCTAAGAGAGTAAACAAATGCACAAAATCATCACTAAGTTCTAAAATGACAAACATAGTAGACACAGAACAAATTTTCTATTTAAATTTAGGTGGTGACTTTATTACATTATTGTAATAGCCAGATTTTTTTTTCCCCTCACATTTCAATAGTTATGTTTTTTTTACAYAATTCTCAGAGCTTAGGTTAACATTTTCAAAAATCTAATTTAAAAGTTTTATAGAACCCAGAACGTGTTAAGTCAATCCAGCATTTAATTTTAAGTACACCATTTACAGAAATCTTGATGGCCTTTTCAAACGCAGTAGAAATGCTATTGAAATGTTTAGAGATGAAAAATAAAACCCATTAAGTTTAGGACTTCAGCTGTGCATTACAACGGATAAAACACAGATTCTAACTGACAGAGATGTTTGTTTTGGTTCAGTCCAGTACAAGTTCACGGCAAACAACCGAGGCAACCACTGCCAATTTTTCCACCATAACATTTTAACTATGATGAAAGAAGTTTGAATAATCAGCTTATTTTGGAACAAATGTAAACATACAGAAATATCAGTTGATTTGTGTWTTTCATTGTAACATGATTCTTCTTTTAAGACAAACTGAAGTAGAGTTGGTACAAAGGTCTTTCTATAATGTAATTTTGGTTTATCTTCTGTACTTTTGATCACGTTAAACATGCTTGAAGTTTATTAATKAATTGTTTCTCCTACCCACACATACAATATAAAAAAGAAATTAGAAAAAAACAAGCGGCAAAGACTCAACATTCTCAAATCAACTCATGAAATTTATACTTAAGTGAAACAAAAAATAAACATTCATACAGTGTGGGACTTAAATAAATAAGAAACTGCATTAACTGTGTGCGACGATGAGCTGAGATCAACAGATTTTCCACATGATTGTCCACAGATATGTAGAGGACGTACAGGACTTCTTATTTTCACAGTAAAAGTGCAGAGGAAGAAGTGAAAGTAATCAGTCAACCAGCTGGACAGAACATGAGATGTACAAATTATTACTCGGAGTGAATGTTTCCCTTAAGATTTACRGTCCGTAGAAGTGCACCAGGTTCTCCTTGTACTGCTGACAGGCCATCTTAAGACTGCTTGACTTTGTTCCTTTCCTGGTCGTTGATGTGCTGCTCCTCTCTGCTGTCCTCGCGCTCTGGCCGGTCGTCGCTCTGGCGGGCGATGAGCAGCCGGCAGGTGAGCAGGATGCCGAAAACCAGAGCGTGGGCGTAGCGCTTGAGCGGGTCTCCAACCAGCTGGTGGAAGAACAGGACGGCCAGCATGACCAGCAGCAGCAGGAAGTTGGCCACGTCCTTGGGCCGGCCCGGCACCAGGGTCAGGACCACTCCACAGCCCACTTCCAGGGAGCCGATGATCTTGCGGAGCAGCACCGAGCTGATCCCGATCTTCTTCAGACCTGGCARTGCCTTGGCGTAGCTCTTGTAGGCTCTTTTCTGAAATAAAAACACACAGGATATCATTTTTGACACAAAAAAGCAGCCTAATATTTAACTTATTCCTTTCTAAACCTTGCAATGATAACATTATAATATGATCTGATACTATAAGTTTATATTTGACATTATAAGAGTCTATCCCATCCTTCAGGCTTCATACAGGATGTTTTAAGCTGCAGCTTCTGCAGGTGCATTTCRGAAATTGCTCGAATGCGCCGCCATCGATCCTCAGCTGAGAGTTCATTTTAAAAAATCAACTACGACACATTTAATAAGATGTAATGAGCATGTTATGACTTTAATCTCACTGAGTTTCTTCTGCGCAAATGTTAGGATACATTTATCATCACTGTGTCAGTACTAGCTAGCATCCCCGCGTGAAAGAATCTTTTTATTAGCTTCATCCTAAAACACCGACCTTGAGTGTGAGCAAAGCTAAAGAAAACATATTTATAATTCAACCTCAGGGGGTTCTTCTACAGTCCCTAACAATGCTTCATTTTCCTTTTCTTTAACTATTTAGGTCAGCGTGTCCACAGCCCAGAACAATGGCCTTTWTTTACCCGCAACTGATGCGGAGACTTGGCGGCTGAAGCTGCAGCGCYACTCACCATTTCACTGTAGGCGTCTTTGCTGAGCCGCGGGGTGAGCTTGATGGTCCCCATGAAGACGAAGAATAAACCCAGAGCGAAGGATAGGGCCACTATGGTTATTGTCCTCGGTGAGGCCATCTTTCGGCACCGCACATGCAGCTGTAGGCGGTTCCCCCCACTCGACTGAATGAGAAAGTCTGCCCGGCCTGCTTCACCGTCAGGATGCGCCACCAGGGGGGTGGGCTGATGGGAGAACCGGAAAAAATGGCGGCGGAAGAGTTCGGGCTCATCGCAGCATCGTTTCTCTCCTCTCCGCTGCTTTTACGACTTTGCACTTTTAGTCACCATTAATTTATAACACATACGTCTAAAATGCTAATGACCTTCTGTCAAATTAAACTATACTGTCTCAAATTGTTTTTTTAAGTTTAAAAAGTTGATCATTTAATTTTTGACTGATTTTTTAACATGAAATATAAACAATTAAAACCATGTTTTTCATCATGTGTTGAACAAAGAAATGTATGGAAGCCCATTTCCGCCACCCTGATAAAAAAAATAAAACGTATCTCATAATTATGACTTAGCTGTAGTTATTATGAGATACTATCTCATAATTATGAGATACTAAGTCATAATTATGACATAGTATCTCATAATCTCATAATTATGACATAGTATCTCATAATTTTGACATAGTATCTCATAATCTCATAATTTTGACATAGTATCTCATAATCTCATAATTTTGACATAGTATCTCATAATCTCATAATTATGACATAGTATCTCATAATCTCATAATTATGACATAGTATCTCATAAGATACTATCATGAGATAATATCTCATAAGATACTATCATGAGATAGTATCTCATAAGATACTATCATGAGATAGTATCTCATAAGATACTATCATGAGATAGTATCTCATAAGATACTATCGTGAGATAGTATCTCATAAGATACTATCGTGAGATAGTATCTTATGAGATACTATCTCATGATAGTATCTTATGAGATACTATCATGAGATAGTATCTCATAAGATACTATCTCATAATTATGACTTAGCTATCTCATAATTAGTATCTCATAATTATGAGATACTAAGTTATAATTATGAGATAGCATCTTATGAGATACTATCTCATGATAGCATCTTATGAGATACTATCTCATGATAGCATCTTATGAGATACTATCTCATAATTATGAGATAGCTAAACCATAATTATGAGATACAAGTTTTATTTATTTTTTATCAGTGTGGCGGAAATGGGCTCCCATTCAAATGAAATATGCTTTTGTTAAAGTCACTAATGTTTGCTAAGCTACTGTTTGTTTATTAAATTGAATAAAACTTAAGGTAACAACATTTCAAACACAAAAATATAATTTCCTGCAATATGTAATAAATGAGAATGGCTGGATGGCTGCTGCAAATTGCTGATGAAGCTAAAAAAAAGGCTGAATACTGTTTAAAAGCTAAAAAAAATACATGCTAGCTAAAGCATRAAGTAAAGCTAAAATGTTAAAAAAGCAACCATAAAGTACCAAAACACTAGCTAAAAGTAGCAAATTAATACCTTAAAGCTAAAAGTAACAAAAAGGAATCTAAAAGGAGGACAACGCTAAAAATACAAGAAGCAAAACTGTAGCTAAAGGCTAACTAAAGGTTCAAGAATCAAAACACAAGCTAAAACATTAAACAAGCACATTTTTAGCTAAGTAGCAAAACACTAGCTTAAAAAATAGCAATTTGATAGCTAAAATTTGAAAAACTCAAGCTAAAAGAAGCACAACACTAGCTAAATTTTAATGCAAACATTTTTTTTTAAAACAGGTCATTAAAATATTGATAAATGTAGCACGACAAGTTATAAGAAGCAAAAATAAATGAATGCCAAAACAAAGAAAATAGCTAAAGTTAAAAGTAACAAGCTAAAAGAAGCAAAACACTTGCTTGAAACTGAAGGGAGCAAAAGATTAGCTAAAAGCTAATGTAATAGCAAAACTATCGTGTTTTTATTACTATTTAAAAAATAAAAAACCAGTGACAGATATTTAAAAGAAAATCTTCAGGATGGATCATGTTCTCTTTTCTCACCAAGGATCCTCAGAAAGAAGGAACGTGGTCGGCTCCCACAACTGAGACGTTAGCAGAAGTTAGCTTTCAGCACTAATAAAACTTTATTCTTTGCAGCTGATGGAATAAAGATGTGCTGAGCAAATGTTGAGACAATGTATTTATTAGGAAATCACAAACACTTTTTTTAAATGTGTCAAACTTTTCTAATCATACAAAATACATTTAAAAAATAAACATCACACATTCAAAACAGGTTTTTATATACTTTTCTTTTCTTTTCCTTATAAACAAACTAATGATTTGGCCAAGAGATATATGTTGTTTTATAATCTTATTATTGATTTTAAATAAATGGTCCCTTCACAGCACACTCTGGCTCAGGAAGCGGGTGGTGAGTTGATCTAACAGCAGTTTTTTCAGCTAATGATGCTTCAGTCAGATGGTAGGACTCAACCAGGTCTCTGTCCCTGGTCCTGACGCTCCTTCAGAGCCAGAATTGCTTTTCGGTAGAGATCTGCCAGGACAGAGGGTCATCCGTTTAAATTAAAGCTGTGATTTGATCGTTGTGTGTTTTAGGGAGGACTGAACTCACCAAAGGTGGAGGAAAGGTCCACGGGTTGAGAATAAGCTACAGGTGTTCCCTCTGTGTTGATTTTGTTTTTTCTTTTCACTTTACCAATTTTTTTCTTCTTCCTCTTTTTACCTTCAGCTAGAAACAAGATGAAATAAGATGAAACACTTCTGTGAAGTTATGAAACAGTGAACAAGTAACGCAGCTTTATAAATGCCAACCTTTCAGCAGCGTCTCGTCGTTCTCCAGTGTTTCGGCTACTTCCAGCTTCTCTTCTTTCACTTGGGTTTTGCGTTTCAGTTTGGCTTTCTTTGGAGGGATCAGAGCRCTGCTGGCTTTGTTTCTGTGGACAGAGTTCTCCTGCTCGCCTTCGTTTCCTTCACCCTCCTCTTCCTCTTCCTGTTCATCATGAGCCTCTTCATCTTCTTCACACTTGTTGACCTGAACTGACTTCTTCTTCTTTGTCTTCAGCTTCTTTTTCAGGGTGCTCTCCTGGGAATTAAAAAAAAAAACACATGGTTGCATGTTGATGTTCATACATTGCCACAGATGACTTTACTGTAAACAAAATACAGTAAAAAAGTGTAGCTAAAGGTAACAAAACACTAAATCAGCAAATGGCTAACTAGCAAAAAGGCAGGCCTGATAAGACATACAGATGCGGTTCAACATTCATATATGGTTTTCATGTTTTTTATTTTATTATCTGTAAAGAACCTGCATGTTTGAGGCTATTTTAGCCACTCAAATATCAAAATGTTCAGYTCATTCAGGAGGTTTGACTCCTTTTTGGCCCTGGTTTTGGACTTTGAGTTTTTAACTACTTTTCTAATACCTTTAGCTTTTGCTATTTTTGGCTTTCCGTAACTTTTACCAATCTGCTGTTGCTAAATTTAGCATTTTGGTAGGCTACTTTTGACTAAAAAATTAAGTCACATTTTGCTGGGTTTAGCTTGAATTTATTACTTAAGATAGGAAATTGCTACTTTTACGTTTTCTTTTAGCTAGCTTTTTGTTACTTTAGGCTTAGTATTGTTACTTAATGTCCTGATGCATCTCAGCAATCCAAGTAAAAAATCAAAAGGAAAAAAATTGTATAGGTCTTCTGGACGGGTTCTTCTCTAATGAAACGTTTCGTCTCTCCTCCAAGAGAC